TTCTTCAGAAGATGCTTGTGATGAAGAAGAAGAAAAAAATTCTGAATAAATTTCGGCAAGATTTGAGCTTTTCTCCGTAGCACCCGAATCGGCGTACTCCAGTATGAGCTGTTTGGCCTTCGCTTCGGATTTGGGACTCAAACTCTTGCTAAGATCTCTTGCAACTGTTGTTCCTGGAGGTGGCTGGTAGTTCCTCAGCTCGTACCTTAAACAAGCATTCACCCATCGAAGATACACCAATTCCTCAGCGTCGGCATAACGATCTGCTCGGAGCTGCTCAATCTCCTCCATCAGTTCTCGATTCGCTTCCCTCGAGCGGTCTGCTTCCTCCGATGCTTCTACCTGCAAATCATGTTACTTTGATTTAACTGCAGTCACGAACTGAAGACGAAGAAGTCATCCGATGGAAGACACACCGAGACAAACCTCTGCACCCTGGAGAACTTGAGAAGCCGCAGCAGTCATTTGTGTGGATGCCAACTTCATCACCAAACCTGAATTCTCCTCTGCAAGCCTTGAATTGACCATTCCGAGTTCTACAGTCTCGTCTTCCAGTCCCTTCAACTTCTTCTCCAACTCTGCATCGTTTACCTCATCCTTCTGCTCCCTGCACTGCAGCGAACTGATCCTTTGGTGAAGGGAGGCCATTATCTCTTTTGCTTGCTCCCTGTCCGCTTTCAACTTCTGCTTGAAAACCTTAATCTTTGCTCTTGACGCCTCGAGCTCATTCCTTGTCCTTGAATGATCGGCCAGCTGTGATTCCAGCCTCCGCTTGTCATCCTGCAAGGATTGGATCCTCAAAACATACAATTTAGCCTCGACTGCGCTAATTTTCAATCGATTCTCAAGCTCTTGCGCAGCAGCCTCTTTCTCTTTAGCTCCATGATAAGCTAGCAATTGGAGCTCAAGACTCCTTTTCCTCTCTCGCAGGGACGAAACCAACTCCCTAAGGCTTGCGATCTCCTGCCCCATCGCAGTCTCTGGGGCGGTTTTCATGTCCTTGCTTGTCACCTCAAATTCTTTCATCAGAGTGTCATTCGATTCAGGTAAGACGACACCCTGTTCGTTGCCTGAGGTACTACTGGTAGAAGACAGCTTCACGGCGGTGGTGGACGTGACGTTGTTGCTCTTTGACAAAGCTTCTTCCTGATAAGAACAAGGCTTAATTTACACGACACAAATCACTTGCGAAGGTTCATCGCAACTTACGCCTTTTGGGATTCGGAGTTCTTCGAGGCGATCGATGCTATCACTCCCACCAGTTTTCGACTCTGCGTATGTCGATGCAATCAAATTCGAATTTTTGATCTCCAGTCAAATCTTCATGAGGACATGAGTGATGAATTAAGGAACCTGCAGAGGAGGTTTGACGAGATGGCGGAGGAGGGGGAGGAGGGCGGGAGCGGGGCCGGAGCTGGGAGACGACGAAACCGGCAAAGAAGAGAGCGATTCCGATGCCGAACACAGGCTTCACGTCACTCCTCCCTCTCGCTACCATCTCCGTCCTTTCCCCACCACTCCAACCACCGTCCGCCGCTGCTGCAGCCGCCGTCCTGCCTATCTCCATAATCACCTCATCGCTACAAGATGACACCTTTACAAAGAAACCCACTTCCCACTCAAACCGAGGAGAGATGAGAGAAAGGCGTCTCCTTGGCGATCCTTAGCCTTCGAGGTGGATGATATCTTCGTGGTTGGGCTTCCTCCAATGTGCCTTTCCGAAGCAAGAGGAGGGGACGGCGAGGCCATGACGTCACACGTCTTTCTACCTTCCATGCGACCATTGGGACCCACATGTGGAAATACAAAACACAATTACGAGAAAGGTAGGGACGGGGTATCCATAAACGAGTACGAGAAGCTTAATTGTGTTTTTGTGAAAGCTAAATTCTGTCACCAAAACGAAGTAACGAACGTTGAGTTTTCTGTTTATTTTTTTTCCTTTTTTTTATAACTTTTCAGTTTCTATGGCGGTTTTCTTGTGCTCGTGATAGTTTTTGTTGCATGTCACTGTTCAACGTTGCTTCTCTTTGAGTTACATGCAATTTTGATGTCTTAATTAGTTCATAAAAGGAAAAAAAAAGGTAAAAAGAAAAAGGAGAGAGAGTACAAACTCTTCTCCATCTGCATACGAAAGTGTAGTGGGGGACCCACTGATGCATGATAAACGTGAGCCGTTGGAACAGAGTGTAGCATGTGTTTCGGTTGCATGTCATCGTCATCATCGTCATCCATTTGAGTTACTTGTTGCACCAAGCAGGAGCTTTGACTTCAGCATTCAGACAGTAACTGGCACCAGACATTCATCGATTCACATAAAGCGAGCTCAAGCTTATCATCAACTGCTATTTGTGCTGTTAGGTTTGAAACACTTGGATTGACTTAGGTAATAAGCCAGTAGAAGAGAGCAATAGAACAAGCATATGATTCATGCATATGATGATGAATCACAAGGCATACACCGAGTCACCGCACAGTTGTTCATCCAGGCAAAGTGCAAATGTCAAGAACAAGTAGTACTATGACGAGCTTATATCTAAGCTCCAACTTCTTTGTGGCAACATATCCACCACTGACCTTTCGGAGAGTACATCGATCTTACGACTCCATCAGTGGTACTCTCTGCAGTTTATTTTCGCTTCATGGAAGGCTACAGAAACAGCACACGCAGGGACTGCTCCATCTCTCACGCTTGCTTCCACCAGAAGATAAAACAAAAAGGAAATATTATGGTGGGAACGAGGTAACTTTCTGTTTTGCCCTCACCCGCCGCCCACCCCCCTCCCCCCTGCGGTGTCACTGCACACTGTTTCACGCGTTGCATGGGGGGGGTAGCAACACCCCGCGGTTTCCCCCCTCCCCATGCACCGCGTGAAACACTGTGCAGTGACACGCAGGAGGCCGGCGGGGGGGGGGGTGGTGTGGGGGTGGCGAGGGGTTTTGGTTCTCGGGAATTATAAATCCAATCCCTTGTTCCCCCCCGACGTTACATTCTGTTCAGAGAGCATTGGCTACTCTTGCGCCCGGTGTATATTACTTCATCCCACCTGTCAACCCCCGACATTCTGAAACTTTTGTTTATAGACACTTCTGACCTGGTGTGTTTCAATTTTACTTCATCCCACCTTTAAATGGCATCATCATCACCCCCCGATATCGAGGAGTGCCCTCATAGCTTGTCGGAGGTGCCCCCAAGGGCGGTGGATCAGTTGAGCCCAACAGCACATGCTCCCACGGAGCCTTCGAGTTTCAAGACCACTGCCGAGAATGAGATAAGAGAACCTCCAGGAGCTTGATGGAGCTTTTGGCTCCGGCCACCTTCTGCACCGGAATCTTCTACAGCATCCCGCCGATGGTCCGAGAGAATCACTACGACTATCGGCTCTATGAGCCCCTCCATGCTTTCGTCCTCTTAGGGGTGCTGTCAAGTGTGGTGGCCATCTTCTGCGCTCGCAGGAAGAACTACCGTCGCGAGGTTGAGGTGGGTGGTAATGATATGGAGTCCAAGCTGCTCGATGTTGGGCTCGTCTACTCAGTGGTCACCTTTATGATCCGAATTCTGCTCCAGCTCACTGCCGCCATGTTGCTGCGTGTCGGCGCGTTTGTCTTCATCGGTTGCTTCGCAGGCGGCCTCTACATCTACAAGATTTGAAGCGATCAATCGATCACAAGGTCGTGGATCGAGACTAAGAAAACAATGTTAATACAATAATTATAATATTTTCCTACTATTGTTGAAAACATTATAATGTAATACAAAAATATTATAATATACTATACTTTGTTGTGTTAGTGTGTATTTTTGGTATTGTTAAAAATAATCTAGTATAGTATAAAATTATTATAATTAGATTGATTCACCTTATCGAATCAAGGGTGGGTCATTCAATATTAATCAAGCATGAGATTCGTAGGTTAAGTCGACCCTCCAAATCTCTGCCAATCATCGCAAATGTCATTTGGGATGTACCGAGAAATGAGCAAGCTATATAGAACAGTGATGTATTAAAATTTCCTATGCTTACAATCGACTAGATACCGAGAAATGTGGTTTTTGTTGTTCATGGTCCTTCGCAGGACAAGCTGATTGATCCTTTGATGAAATTATCTCATGCAATTTGTATGGCATTAGAGTAGCTCAAGTGTCATAATCACAAAACAAATCAAGATCAGATGGACTGCCATCCTTTCATGCTTGTACATGTTAAAATCCAGGTCTTATATAAACAAATACTAGGGAAGAAATTTGGTCGGGCTAACCTTGGCTTCCACTCTACTACTGTTT